AAAAGCAGCAAGCAATATTCCTGAACAAGGGGCCATGAGTTAAGAACTTGTAGATATAATTTATCCTGCCTCAGTGCAACATAGAAATGGTACAGTGATGGTCTACCTTACTTTAGAACAATGGCCACACATCTATTGGTTTCGTCTGTTGCTATGAAAAAGAAAATTCATGGGGTGCCTGAGTGGCTCAGTAGGTTAAGCGTCTGACTTTGGCTCAGGTCATGATCTCACGGTTCATGAGTTCAAGCCCTACATCAGGCTCTGTGCTGGCAGCTCAGAGCCTGGAGCCTGCTTCAGATTCTGTGTCTCCCTCTCTGTCTTTCCCTCCCCTGTTCGTGCCCTGTCTCTCTCTCAAAAATAAATAAACAATTAAAAAAATTTTAAGAAAAAAATTCATTGCATGATGTGCTTAGTTGCTCAAGCTACATTCAGGACTCTCTTGGGTATCCCTTATTATATGACCTCTCCCCAGTGGCATGCTGGACTTCTTGGCACAAGTAGGAGCTAGAGGCAGGGATTTAAAAAAAGCTGACCTGCCATGAAAACTAGATTGGGCTTCATGGGCATCTTAGGCCTCTCAGCATGTTTTCTTTATGTGGAAAGATGTGCTGGATTAAATATAGGTGATCTGGCACTTTGTCCGTCTTAGTGAAGGAATAGATTCAACTACCTAGATATATACGCAAAACCAAAATAAAATGAAACCCTCATATCATTAATGAGTGTATGTTAACCATAGTTTCGGTTATCTGTGCATAAAATCATCTTTGGAGATTTATTCTGTAAGTAGTTTTAAGTCACTGTAAGCAGTGATGATATTGGAGATTTATTCTTCATCATGAGAAATATTAGTGGGTCACTTAGTGCAAAATAACAGAAGGATAGAATGATATATCTCTACTAAGCTTTGCAAAAGTGCAACATATTATCACATGCACTAACTAGAGACATTTGCCTGAAACAACAAAAATGCCATTTTTCTAAATTTAGTAACAGTTTTTATCTTGGGACATGGGGTGGGAGATTAGGACCTTTACTCTCTATGCTCTATATGTCTGTGATGTTTGAATGTTTTAATAAAGACTACTTATCACTTTTATAATTAATTAACTATAATAAAAATCAATTAGTAAACATTGTCCTGCATGATAAATGCTAAGTCAGCCCTTGTTTAAAAACAAGAAAGGGAAGGGGCACGTGGGTGAGCCAGTTGAGCGTACGGCTTCAGCTCAGGTCATTAGCTCACAGTTTGTGGGTTCGAGCTCCCAGTCGGGCTCTGTGCTGACAGCTTAGAGCCTGGAGCCTGCTTCGAATACTGTGTCTCCCTCTCTCTCTGCTCCTCCCCCACTCATGTTCTGTCTCTGTCTCTCCTTCAAAAAAAAATAAAGACATTAAAAAATTTTTTTAAAGAACAAGAAATGGAATTATTTTTTTAAAGAAAATAAATTTCAATAAACTCAGTGCCTACCTATCCCTCTAAAGGGACAACACAGTGACTATGATAAGCTTGCTCCAGAGATGCTTTATTCTTAACAAATTCTATTTGGCTTCTCATTCTATGACCCACTACTTAATGAGCCACTTTAGTTGGCCTTTCCCCAGGGCTCATTCACAACTGTTCCTAAATAATGTCAGTCCTTTTGCTGGAGCAGGTGTTATTTTCTGGGCATCTTCACCAAAAGGCAACATAAAAATTAACAAGCTTCAGATCTGGAGGATTCAGGGTCTCATTTCAGGCAAAGAATATATGTGTCACACACACAGTAATGCTTTTGGAACTTTCTGTCTAATAAGAAGATTTTGACATCATAACAAAAGAACTCAGTATACTTCTAAATGTTTATTTCCTTTTCTATAAGAGCAATTCTTAAGGGCTAAGGTATTATATCATTTCTTGCAGCAAAATGAAGGTCTGTTTTTTGTACAAGTGTAAAGCTGTGTTTTCAGGGTCCCCTCTTTCATTTCAAGTATCTCGCATGCTACCAGGTAACTAAGTCAGTTACACTGTATATTCCACACAGGGAAGATCTATAATTCAGCCTGCCCGTTTAGTATTAAAACCAACTCCTAAATTTGCAGTATTAGGAACTTGCATAGGACTAGCATTCCAAGGTAGAAGTACAGACAGTGTGAGGTTCAGATGTGCTCTGGGTTTAGAGGGAATGTTAACGTTAGTGATTAACAACTATATGTTTTATAGCAAATGTCTAAGTGTCCAGAAATGCCCATGGAGCTTCTTGCTCTGGTTTGCTCCATAATGCCTCTCTCTAACATGTCTTATTTCATGTCTTAGGAGTTCGTGATGATTGTCGTCTTTGGTTTGGAGTTCATCATTCGAATCTGGTCTGCAGGTTGCTGTTGTCGGTATAGAGGATGGCAAGGAAGACTGAGATTTGCCCGAAAGCCCTTCTGTGTTATAGGTGAATATCAAAGTCCTAGATATGGATTTACAACACTGCATCCTTTTTTTTCTTTATTGCAATATTTAATCAATATTAAAAGATAACATTCATGGAACATTTACTGTGGGTCAGGGACTTTGTGTTTTAAAAGCATTGACTCACTTAATCCTAACCATAACACTATGAGGTAAGTATTTTTATTATCTCCATTTTACAAATGAAGAAACTGAGACAAAGAGAAGTGAAAGAAAGTGGTGGAGTTGGGAGTTTGAGGCAAGTGGTCTGGCTCTAGACTATTCACTTATATCCAGTTAAGTTACAGTGAAATGTATGGTTCTCCAGTATTGTCTTGAATTAGGGAAGCATTGATTTCAGTATGTATAAAGCCCCCTTTTTTCTTTACAATATGAGCAATACCCCTTTTATGCTCTTGACAAACTGGAGTGGATAGCAATGTATTAGTCCTGATAAAGCATCTCAATTAGCATGCCTCAAGGATGATTACAAGTATGGCTTACTTTATGTATGGGCAACTTTAGACCTGATAAAGTGTTTTACCCTGTTAAATTTGAGTTCCCCCACAATGCAGTCCCTAAATAAATACCACTTCTTTTCAGCTCTCTAGCTCCTGTGGTTTCAGAGGGATCCCATCACCTGGGTACCAGCCTGAAATTATACATTTTCATGAAGATGTCATACAGCAGTCTGGACTTAGGATCTGGCAACTCCCAGGAATATATTTAAAAGTATACCATAAGATTGAAAACTTATTCAATTATATCTCAATTTTCAAATTTTAAGTAAATTGCCTACATCACAGCCCTTTATCCCCAAATATTTTGGTGTGGATTTCCTAAGAATAAGGATATTCTTTTACATAACCCTCCATAAATTGAACATTAATACTTTACCTAATCTGCTGATTGTATTCCAGTTGTATCAGCTGACCTAATTATGTTCTTTATAGCATGCTTTCCTCTCCCGTGCTGGATCCAGTCTATGATGAAACACTGCACTCAGCTGTCCTGTCTCTCTAGTGTCCTTCCATCTAGAATAGCTCCTCAGCCATTCTTTGTCTTGTAGGACATTGACATTTTTGAAGACTATAGCTTATTTTTTAAAAATAGAATGTTCTTCCTTTGGGGGAAAAAAACCCTAGATATAAAACCTGTTGTTGTTGTTGTTGTTGTTGTTGTTGTTGTTGTTGTTGTATAAAAGCTACATTTGGTTTTCTTACTCTTTTTTCCTTCCCACTTCTTTGGCAGCCATTCAGATCCAAATACTAAAAGTTCTTGGTGAGGCTTACTTACTTCAACTACTTCCCATCTGAGGAAGTAGGTTTTTATTTATGAGCTTGTTTATACTATCTTCTTCATCGACAGCTAGTTTTCCATTTTATTTGAGGTTTCAGGAATTGTTGATTAATCTTCTTAGTCTCCTCCTTTCCCCCTGTTCCCTGCACTAATGGCACAATGGACTTAGGCAGGTCTTGGAGAAAGTATCTGCTCATCCTTGGGCACTGTTAAGAAGAATCCTTTCTTCCAGCCTTGCTGTATAGATGGAGCACTGTCCTGGGGATGGGAGAAAAGGTAGGCTGTCCATATGCTCTTTGCCACTGAGTTAATTTCAGAGTATGCTTGTTTCAAAAGAGTCACCATTCATTTAACCGAAATTTATGGAAATTCGGTTGTGTGTGAAGCACTGGAATTACAGTAGTGAATCCAGTAAAATGTTAAATGAAACCTATCTTAAAATACCTGGTTTGGCTTTCACTACTGCAGTCTACTTGTCCAGCTGCCTGTCTTCTGCGAGAAATGGCTTTACTCCTTTCTGGAAGCCATTATGCTAAGATATGGAGGAAAGTAGGTAGAAATTACCCAGCCCCCAGGCATATCAGTGAAGGCATTTGATTTTTCTCTCCAGAGACTTTTCTCTTTTTCAGTTCTCTGCTCCAGAAACATCATGAAGGACTTTAACTTGGTGTGAAACTATTGCACAAGTACTTTCTGTCCTATAAGGGCCCCAAACAAAACAATTCACAAGGCAGATGGTTGGCCAAGATTCACTCAGCTTCTACAGGATGAGGTCGGTTCATGGATGACTGAAGGAATGTTTCATTCCAGATTTTAAAACCAATTAAAAATTGGCTTTGTTCCAATTCCAGAGGCAATGCCGATGTATTTCTGGCCTGCAAGCTAAAAAGAAAGTCCTTTCCCAGATGCCTGCTGCCTTTTGATAGCTGTTTTCAGCTTTGGATACCTCAGTACATCTTAGTCCTTTAATCTGTCTCTTCCTGTCTCAGATCTTCGTGGTCATGATAGAATATCTTTAAAAAAAAAAAATATGTGGCTCTAAAACTGATGTCAGGATATCTGTAATCTTAATATCCTAATCACCTTTGGGCTTATTGTGGCCCAGCTGAATTGATGTAATAGTGGAGCATGTTGAAATGTGGATCTTCGTATGATGTCAGTAAAATTTAATCTACACAGAGGAACCAAATGTCATCTGCCTGAAGGCAGCAGGCTGTGGCAGGTGACTGTAGAAACCCATTCTAGGCCTGTTTAATAGGTGCATAAAAATGATTGATACCACTGATAAAATGATAAAGTGCAATGTAAAGTGAGCCCTGTAATTCCCTTGTTCAACCTAATTTACCATGGCAAAATGAAAAAAAAAAAAGAAAGGAAGAAAGAAATGGGGTCTCTCATCTGTGAAAACTATTCTGAGTTTGCAAATGTAGCTAATATCTCTCAAGGCTCCATGTATTTGTAAGAGTTGATTACCCTGCACACGCTAAATACATGCCCAAATGTTTTCAGCAGTCTTGAGCATTCCAGAAAAGGATACAGAAAAAACTGTGGTAGCCTGGCTATGCCTTCAACATGGGAAATCCTTTCTGTAGGCACATCAATGTTGTTCTTTCCAGTTGGAAACAGACTGAAGCTACTGCAGTGGTCAGCTAGTGGACCTCATATAGTTTTGAGTCTGAGAGATCAACTGATAGTATTTGGAGTGGCTAGAGGCCCCACAGGCTAATTCCCAAAGACTGGAACTTCCCCCTCCTAAACTGCCTACCCCCTCCAGCCCTGCATTCTAGGCAGAATGAAGAACATTTTAAATTACAAAGTCATCATATACTTGTGTTTGAACAATATATTTTAAACAAGTATAACCAAAGGGAAGAAAAAGTTTATTCAATTTTTTAAAAATTAAGTGCTTTCTTTCATTACTATATTGATTTATCTCTTCTTGGTTTGGGGAGTTTGCTTTGAAAACTGGTAAAAATTTTATCTTGTATTGCAAAATTCTTCCTTATACCTGTGCGTTCAATTTACATCCTCTAAGACTCTTTTGAAATAACATGTGTATAGCTGTAGGCAATAATCAGTGCATTACCAATTTGGAGAGTCAAGTATATTTTGGGATAACTACCCCAAGATGCCCTTTCACTTATCTAGACTGGCTGCTTTATGAGTTCTCTGCATTCAACCACCAATCAGTGGCCTCAGTATTGAGAATGTGTGAAATACACTCAAAGACTAATTTCATAGTCATTCTTTTTTTTTTCCTGCTTTCATTAATGACCTCCCTGAAAATTGCAAATAGTACCAAAGGCTGGTACTTAGATCACAATAATGAGCCTGATGTGTCAGGAAGCCAACAAATTACTTCTAACAGTGGCTTTTTTGGATTCCCTGGTGACTCTTTCTAAAGACATATATAACAGAGCCATATTTCTTGGTCTTGCAGTATGTCTCAGGGAAGCAGAAAATACCAGCCTGTTATTAATCTTGGGTCTGTATTTGATGCTAAATATAAGTTGATTTCTTCTTGCTATTTTAACAGTTTTCCTTCAGCATTAATATTTCCACAAGGGGACAAAAAAGGCAAACCACAGCACAGATGTTTCCCGCATGAATTGGGCATATACGTTTTTGACATGAGATAACAGTCACTCAGGAAAATGTCAACAAGTGCATTTTTTTTAATGAGAAAAAAATAACCAGTTTCTTCTTTGGCTAAAACCAAATTGAAGCCCTTATTAAAATTAACCACACAGCCAAGGCCACTCTAATATATCTGTGAGTTCATCTTATTAAAAGGCAACATAAGCTGCTAATGTGTTCAAAAGTTTTATCAGAGACTCCCAGAACTGTCACTGGCTTCTAAACTGAAGATTTGAAACATCATTTTCCATTTCTCCTCCTTCCCCATCTTTTGTTCTAAGAGACATGCTCTTGAATTGCATCATTTTCTCTATCTTCCAATCTTTCCTGTCCTTTAGGAGAAATTCTGTTCTCTCAGATTATTTTCTGTCAGTCATTTACTCTTCTGCTACTACTCTTTACTTCTAAGCATTGAAACTCCTTTAGACTCTTTCCATATGATTGGCTGGACCATCTGAGAACAATTAAACTCTGATTAATTGATCACAGAATACTAACGTCATTTCAATCCTTCTAGTTGATAAATGATATTTATTGAGATTTGCTGTATGCTAGGTACTGCACTAAGCATTCTATAAATATTGTCTTATTTAATTCTACATAGGTATTATAATATTCTATTTCATAAATGAGGATTTATGAGGAACAACTCCCAGAATTCAGGAAAATGCTTTGCTTACTGTTATCAGTTTATTATAAAAAATATATTCAGGAACAGCCAAGTGGAAGAGATGCATAGGGTAAGGTACTTGGGGCAAGGGAATGGCTAACATGGAGTTTCCATGACCTCTACAGGCATGCCACCCTCCCAACACCTCGGTGTGTTCACCAATCTGGAAGCTTTCTGAACCCCATGGTTTAGATATTTTCATGGAGCTTTCATTACATAGACATAATTTATTAAACGTTGGCTATTGGTCATTAAATTCAATCTTTAGACCCTGTTCCCTTCCCAGATGTCTGGAGGATAAGGCTAAAAGTTCCAACTCTCTAATCATGATTCGGTCTTTCTGGTAACCAGGCATCATCTTGAATTTACCTAGGGACACCCCCACCACCACCACCCCC